CGCTTACCAAGTACTATATTAGGCAAAGTATAACAAACAACCCCAAAATTTCAGTGCCTTAAAACAATGTGAATTTGTTTTGTGTTCATATCACAATGTGATACAAGTTGTAAGAAAAGCACTGCTTCTGCAGAAACTTGGTGACCTAGATTCCTGTAGTTTTGTGCTTCATACTCCGTGGGCCCTCTCTCTATCCATTGAATGGGTAAAGAGAGGATTTCTTGGGAGTTTTTTTTTAGCCTGGCATGGGAACATGGTGCATGTCATACACACTCATGTTCCATTGGTCAGAACTCAGGTAAATGGCCACACTTAACAAGGGAGACAAAAAATGTGGTCTGGTTAAAGACTAATGGAGGGAATGCTAGCAATTTCTTTCACACATCTCTATGTGCCCTTCTCAAGGACACAAATATGTCCTCTAATGAGGGATAAATTGCCATGTATTCCATAAGGAAGGTATTTGAAGGACCAATGGGAGAATATAGGGAGCATTCAGATCAACTTGGGAATACAGAGTGTTGATTAGAAAAGGTTTCACAGAAGAGGCTGACGTTTGAGCTAAAACTTTCTGGTAAGATTTTTTTTTTTTTTTTTTTTTTTTTTTTTTCAGAAAGAGGGTAAGGTGGACATCCCAGTAAGAGCAGAAGTTTAACAGTACAAACAAAAGGTAGCATTGCACACCAGGACCACATGTCCTTGAAGTGATAGGATAGGAGTAGTGAATGATGAGGCTAGACTGTTACATTGAGATCAGATGTAGAGGGCTTTAAAATGGCATGCAACAGAGATTGGGTTGGTGTAGATATACCAGGATACCTTTGGGGGTGGTTTTTAGCAGGGGGTAACATGATCCTGTTTGTGTTTTAGAACAGTATCCTCATTCCTTTTACAATTATTGAGTATATCTATGTTCTACATACTGTGCTTGCCATTGGGGCTTCAACAAGGAACACATTCCTTGTTCTGGTAGTAATAGGGAAGGTTCATTGAAAGGAATTGGATTGAAGTCCAAAAATCAATAAGAGCTCCTTTCCTGTTATTGTGAAGAGAGATGAGGTTCTGAATATGAGTATTGACAATGAACATGAGTATTGGCAGCGGACATGGAAAAGAGTGAATGGATTATATAGATAATCTGTGGAGTAGAATCTGATGAATTCCTAATCAATCAGATGTACTACATGAGGAAAAGATTGGGAGGAATGTGTCACAGAGGTTTTCAACCTGAGAGAAAATAGTGAAAATGGGAACTAGCTAGAAAGAGAAACTGGCTTAAGGGAAAGATTATGAAATTTTGAAATATCTGTGTGGGGGTATCTAGAAAGTAATTGGTAAAAGTTTTAGTGGTCAAGAGAAGGCAGAACTGGAGCTATGACAGACATATCAGTTACATTTTAGACCTGTAGACTGCCTGAGATCAGAACCCCAAGAAGTAAAAGAAACAGCAGGTAAAAGAGGTTGACAAAGAATTTTCAGAATTAGGAAAATATTTGAACATTTTGTTTGTTTGTTAACAACACTATATGATTTAGGAGAATAGGTTCACACATCTTCAGATGTATGTCACTACACCACATCCACCTTCAAAGCACCCGTAGTCCTTCACCATAGACCATTGAGCCCCTCCCCTTTATTTCCCATCCTCTCAGTCCCTCTTTGGAGCCTCATTTCTGTAATTATGTCTAGAGTTCTTAAGGACCATTGCAAAAGCTGTGAGTGCAAAATCTAATGGCAACAAGAGAAAGCAGTAACTTTGCTGAAAGCGTAGAAGGATTGATGGACACAACAGTTGGTAATGGATTAGTGTGAGACTGAGGAGAAGTCAGGCAAGTCAGGAAGGAAGTCAGGGTTGCTGGTGAGAAGTTACTGCCTTTTGTTGATAATAGAGAAAGCATAGTAAGTTCTGAGATATATGAATGGATGCCAACTACAGATGCTGACCAAGGAGGAGCAGTTTGAAGGGATTCATGTTAATTTCTACATCCGTGGTTTTACTAGAGCCAAAAACATTTTACTGTGAACCTCGACAACAAAAAAAAAAAGAAAAGTAGTAAAGATGTGATGGTGAAAAATAGATGACGGGATCAAGAAGATGTGTGTGTGTATCTGTGTGTGTGTATTCCACAGATGTGGACTATTACTCAGCCATCAAAAAAGTTAAACTCTTGCCATTTGCAGCAACATGGATGGAGCCGGAAGGAATTATGCTCAGTCAAAGAAGCCAGAAAGAAAAAGAAAAATACCACATGGTTTTACTTATAGGAGGAATGCAGGGAAACCAAATAAGGGATTAGGAAAAAAAAATAATTATAATAAAATTAAAAAATTAACAGTCAAATATAAATCAGAGATATTCTGCAGGGGAAGGGGAAGGAGAGGGATCAAAACAGGAGAGAAAAGAGCACAAGGGACTATGGTGATGGTGCACAGGGGAATTGGTGTTGGGAATTTCACGGGACTACACCTGAGTGGAGAAAGCATACATTGTAGAAAAAGGAAGAATGATGTAAAAAAAAAAAATATATATATATATATATATAAAAAACAAAGATGTGATGGTAACAGA